CTATTTCTACACAGGAAGTAGTCTATTGTCTCTCTCTCTCTCTCTCTCTCTCTCTCTCTCTCGCTCTCTCTCTGTCCTGAATTCATAAAATCCATAACACCGGGGAACGGCATTGGGACAGACATGGAGCTGAGCTGCCATAATGAATGTGTATGTTAAACCCAGTTCTTATCATGTTACCTTTATAGCTATATTGGGTTAACTAGTGGGATGTTTATGTTACGTCTGTACTGGGTGAAACCAGTATGACTCATCTTAGTTTAGTAGCAGGCTGCTGGAAAACAAGCAGGAAGGGAAGCAACAGCTCATGAAAAGCCCTCTCTCAGTTAGCACTTCAGGGAGGTTGGAGACCACACCAGATCTAAAAACTGGGAGGAATGGATTTCCAGGCTCCAGCCACATTACACAGCTTGTTTTTCCAGCGCTAGGAGACTTTCCAGAGGTGGAAAAGCTGTTGCTGGGAAGCTCTTCGGACTGACACACACACAGACAGCATTAGGGAAGTCTGAAGGCCCTCGGACTATCTGGGTCCCCGTCAGAGAGGGAGGGTTTGGGAGGGACAGAGACATGTACAGACTATTCTTTGAAAACCCTCTTATTCTCCCATGTTACACTTTATTTCTATTGTTCAAATTAAACAGGATTTTGTTTAAAGAAGGCTGGCTGGCCACTCGTCTCACCACTAGTCGCAGACTCCCAAAGGGAAGAACTACAGGTGCCAAACCCACTGGAAACTGCTGGGCAAGCACAATCGACCCACAGTGTGCTGTAGCCCAGGGCCCAATCTGAGGGTGGGAGGGTCGTGGGATTCCATCCCATGAGAGAGGGCAGGGCACAAGGCCTGACATCTGGCACTTGTAGACCAGAGACGGGGCAGAGATGCCAGTAGCCCTGTAGCTCTGAGGAGATTCTAGATCCCTCAGCTAGTCCAGTAATTAAAATATGCCCTATCGGACCTGTTACCACAGACCAAGGCAGCTCTGAATTCCTGTGGTCACAATGGAGCCAGACAATAAAATCTCTGAAAATGCATTTGCTGATAAAATTTCCAGTAGCAAATAAGCCCAAGGCAATTTAACATTCCAAGCTCACTTTGAAAGTCATATTTTTGTATAGCTTGAATAATGCACCATGGAGCATGGGCAGCTGTAGGGGAGGGGTTTCCAAGCTACCTAGCGCTTCCTGCCCTCCGGCCCTGTCACTAAGTCGCCCCGACAGCCCAGCTGAGTCCTCTGCCACTGCACAGAACATCTGCCAATGAAAACAGCTTGCAGCCTTTACACATCACTTCGCATTTTAAAGCTAGTGAAACCTGCCAACGTACCCAATTCCTGCTAGACGGGGAGTCGCTGACACCAGAGGTCTTCATCCAAAAGGACGAGGAGTCTTCGGAGAGGTTGCATGGGCAGCAGACAGTATCTGTTCAGACAGGGAGGGAACTGTGTTTATGAAGCTTGCCTGCACATTCCTTTGGGGGCCACTTGGCCATCAGGGAACCTCAACTTCTTGGCTTAATGTGCACTAACTTTAACCCCGTCACGGCCAGTGGCAAAATGCAGGAGGCCAAATCACAGGGGATGTGTACTGATGCTTCCCAACTGAACGGCAGCACCAGCCCTGCTATCACATTAGCTATCTGCCAGTTATCTGGCACAGAGGCTGATTGAAGTGTCTGTGGTTGTGAAACCCTCATTTCTGTATTGTTTTATCTTTATGGCCCCACTTTTCTATTGTTAATCTGTCTGGTTCTCTGATTGTTTCTCTTTGCTGTATAATTAATTTTGCTAGGTGTAAGTTAATTAGGGTAGTGAGATATACTTGGTTAGAGAATTATGTTACAGTACGTTATGATTGCTTAGTTAAATTTCAGTAAAATGATTGGTTAAGGTATAGTTGAGAATCTTACTATATAAACTGTGGTCAGACAGGAAGTGGGGGGAAGGGAAATTGGAATCATGTTTGCTAAGGGGGGGGAACGGGAGTAGGGAATAGGGAATGGGGAACGGGGACACAGGCAA